TCCCTCGCTCTCCCCGAGAAGGCTGCGCGAGTTCGGGGCGCGGGAGGTGGCCAACACCGCCTGGGCGTTCGCGAAGCTCGAGCGTGCCGACGCCCCCCTCCTGCGCGGGCTGGCGGCCGCGTGCGGGGCCACGGTCGCGCGGGCGCGCGCGCAGGAGATCGCCAACACGTCGTGGGCGTTTGCGGCCCTCGCGTGGCGCGACGCCCCGCTCTTTGCCTCGATCGCCGCGCGGGCCATCGCGAGGCTGGGGCCAAAAACTCCCACACACACACACAGGGGGAAAACAAACAAAAAGAACAAACACAAAAAAAAACACAACAAACACACAGACACAGAGAGAGAGAGAGAGAGAGAGAGAGAAAAAACACACACACACACACACCTCGTGGGAAAAAAACACGCACCTCGTGTTTTGCTTTTTACCTAACAGCGAAGACTGATAGGTTTCTACTGGGGTCAAAAGAGAGCATCTAATGACTCCCCAGGGGGGTCTGGGCGGGAGCCGGACAGGCGAGGGCCGGGCTCGTTTTAAGCAAACAGTTACACACTCCGTGGTCTTCGAGGTCCCAGAACTCCATTCTTGGGCCACATTCTGAATGCCCGGAGCCAACTGTAGGCCACTTCGTGGTCTTCGAGTTCCCAGAATTCCACTCCTGGGCATGATTTTGAATGCCCGGAGCCAACTGTAGGCCACTTGTTGGTCTTCGAGTTCCCAGAACTCCATTCCTGGGCATGATTTTGAATGCCCGGAGCCAACTGTAGGCCACTTCGTGGTCTTCGAGTTCCTACAAAGGAAAAAAAAAAAACCAGAATCCCATTCCTGGTCATGATTTTTGGAATGCCCGGCGCCACCTGTAGGCCACATTCGTGTTCTTCGGTTACCTCAGAACTCATTCCCTGAGTGCCGGGCCACATTCTGATGCTGTGCTGAGGCTGAGGCAGGCTGAGGCTGAGGCTGAGGCTGATGCAGGCTGAGGCTGAGGCAGGCTGAGGCTGAGGCCGAGGCTGAAAGCAGACTGAGGCTGAGGCTGAAGCAGGCTGAGGCTGAGGCTGAGGCAGGCTGAGGCTGAGGCAGGCTGAGGCTGAGGCTGAGGCAGGCTGAGGCTGAGTGTAGAAACAGGCTGTGGCTGAGTCCTGAGGCTGATGCAGGCTGAGGCTGAGGCAGGCCGAGGCTGAGGCCGAGGCTGAGGCAGACTGAGGCTGAGGCTGAAGCAGGCTGAGGCTGAGGCTGAGGCTGAGGCTGAGGCTGAGGCTGAGGCTGAGGCTGAGGCAGGCTGAGGCTGAGGCCGAGGCTGAAGGCAGGCTGAGGCTGAGGCTGAGGCAGGCTGAGGCTGAGGCTGAGGCAGGCTAAGGCTGAGGCTGAGGCAGGCTGAGGCTGAGGCTAAGGCAGGCTGAGGCTGAGGCAGGCTGAGGCTGAGGCTGAGGCTGAGGCCGAGGCTGAAGGCAGGCTGAGGCTGAGGCTGAGGCAGGCTGAGGCTGAAGCAGGCTGAGGCTGAGGCTGAGGCAGGCTGAGGCTAAGGCTGAGGCAGGCTGATGCTGAGGCAGGCTGAGGCTGATGCTGCGGTCGAGGCAGGCTGGGGCTGAGGCAGGCTGAGGCTGAGGCCGAGGCTGAAGGCAGACTGAGGCTGAGGCTGAAGCAGACTGAGGCCGAGGCTGAGGCAGGCTAGGCTGAGGCTGAGGCTGAGGCAGGCTGATGCTGAGGCAGGCTGAGGCTGAGGCTGAGGCTGAGGCAGGCTGAGGCTGAGGCAGGCTGAGGCTGAGGCCGAGACTGAAGGCAGACTGAGGCTGAGGCTGAAGCAGGCTGAGGCTGAGGCTGAGGCTGAGGCAGGCTGAGGCTGAGGCTGAGGCAGGCTGATGCTGAGGCAGGCTGAGGCTGAGGCTGAGGCTGATTCAGGCTGAGGCTGAGGCAGGCTGAGGCTGAGGCCGAGGCTGAAGGCAGACTGAGGCTGAGGCTGAAGCAGGCTGAGGTTGAGGCTGAGGCAGGCTGAGGCTGAGGCTGAGTCAGGCTGAGGCTGAGGCAGGCTGAGGCTGAGGCTGAGGCAGGCTGAGGCTGAGGCAGGCTGAGGCTGAGGCTGAGGCAGGCTGATGCGAGGCAGGCTGAGGCTGAGGCTGAGGCTGATGCAGGCTGAGGCTGAGGCAGGCTGAGGCAGGCTGAGGCTGAGGCCGAGGCTGAAGGCAGACTGAGGCTGAGGCTGAAGCAGGCTGAGGCTGAGGCTGAGGCTGAGGCTGAGGCTGAGGCAGGCAGGCTGAGGCTGAGGCTGAGGCAGGCTGATGCTGAGGCAGGCTGAGGCTGAGGCTGAGGCTGATGCTGATGCAGGCTGAGGCTGAGGCAGGCTGAGGCCGAGGCTGAAGGCAGACTGAGGCTGAGGCTGAAGCAGGCTGAGGCTGAGGCTGAGGCAGGCAGGCTGAGGCTGAGGCTGAGGCAGGCTGATGCTGAGGCAGGCTGAGGCTGAGGCTGAGGCTGATGCAGGCTGAGGCTGAGGCAGCCTGAGGCTGACGAGGCTGAAGGCAGACTGAGGCTGAGGCTGAAGCAGGCTGAGGCTGAGGCTGAGGCAGGCTGAGGCTGAGGCTGATGCTGAGGCAGGCTGAGGCTGAGGCTGAGGCTGATGCAGGCCACTGCGACTGTCATCGCGAATGCGACTACGACTGCGAGAACAGCAGAATTCTACAACTGGATTCTCATCTGAATCTTAAGGGGAATGCTTCCAGATATGCTCCTACACATCGCTGTTAGGTTGCTTTGCCGGGATCATTTTTGTTTTCCTCGTGAGGCTGGGACCAGGGCCGGCGGCGGCAGGCGACGTGGCGCTGCCGCAGCACGTTGCCAGCATCGCCTGGTCGTTCGCGAAGCTGCAGCTGGCGCACCAGGCCCTGCTGGACCTGCTGTTCTCGCGCGCGCTCCGCGAGATATGAGAGTTTCGGCCCCAGGAGCTGGGCAACCTCGCGTGGGCATGCGCGGCCATGCAGAGGCTTCTGGGCCTACTAGATGGGGCCAGAGTAGATGGGGCCGGAGGATCGCGCCGCATCGCCGATGCATCGGCGATGGATCGACGATGCAACTCGATGTGGGACACATATTTTCCCCACGCCGACGTCGCCAGTGCATCGCCGATGCATCACCGATGTATCGGCGATGCGGCGAGTTCCTCCGACCCCATCTACTCGGATCCCATCTAGGAGGCCTCCAAGAGGGCGGACGTGCCTCTGCTTGCGGCGATAGCAGCTCCTGCCATGCAGATGAGTCCCCGGCTCAATCCCCAGGCCCTTGCAAACACGGCGTGGTCGTTCTCTGCGCTGCGCTGGCTGCACGCGCCGCTGATGAACACAATCTCGTCCCAGGCGATCGTAAGCATCATGCAGTTCAAGCCGGGAGAGCTGGCCAGCACCTCGTGGTCTTTTGCCATCCTGCGCAGCGCTGATGCTGGGCATCTGTTTGATGCTATTGCCTCCAGTGCGGTCGCCACTTTGCCTCAGTTCGGCAGCCAGAACCTGTCGAACACGGCCTGGGCGTTCTCTGCACTGGCTTTCTCGCACCACGAGCCGCTGCTTCGGGCGATCTCGTTGCAGGCGCGAGTCAAGATCGCGTCCTTCAAGCCGCAGGAGCTGGCCAGCACGGCCTGGGCCATCGCCACGCTCTCCTTCGAGGACGCCCCCCTCATGAGTGCCGTGGCGGCCGCGGCGCTCCCCAAGATGCCAGGCTTTGGGCCTCAGAGCCTCTCGGGCATGCTGTGGGCCTGCGCGACGCTGAAGTTCGACGACGGGCCCCTCCTGGCCGCCAGTTCCTCCCAGGCGCGGCGCACCGTGTCGAAGTTCGGCCCGCGGGAGCTCTCGAACATTCGGGGGTTGCTCAAGGTGTCCCTGGCCCAAGGTGCCCCCAGCTTCTCGCTCCATCTTAGAGTCAAGCCGGGCCTGTCCCTCCACAGGGGGAATATCCAAAAATAGTCAAAAAATAGTCTGGGGAATAGTTTTAAAGTATGTTGGGGCATTGTTGGAGTATTTTTGGAGGTATTTTTAATTTGTCGCCCAAAATCCCCCTGTAAGGGGGACACGCCCGACTTAACCTTAGAGCCCATGGCGCCCTCTGGGCCTCGCGAGGGGTGCCCTGGAGGCCGTGGCGGCCTCCTCGGAAGTCCTGGGGGCACCTCGGGTTGAGATCCGACGTTGCAAAGCAGTGCCACGTCGCAAAGTCACGCCCAGAGCCCTAGACCCCATCCTTCTGCCTCACCTTTCGAGCCGGGTCGATCCGCGAGGGTCCCCGGGCCCGGAAATCAAGCAGTGGCGAAGCGTCTTGGCTCGCCTATAGCCCTACCAAACAATGTTCTAAGAACCTTTTGTGGTTTCCACGAAATGTTCTTAGAACATTTCTGGCGGAGTCTGTCTTGTTTTCACACATCGGGTTCATGTTCTAAGAACATTGTTTTGTTGGGTTCTAAGAACATTTCGTGGTAGGACTATAGGAATGCCGGGGCGGTCGGTCCCTGCTCAAGGAAAGGAGCGCAGACGCCCGTAGAGCACAGCGGCTGCAACGCCCGGGCCCGGGGCGCCTCCAGCAGCGCCCGCAGCATCGCGTGGTCCAGCGCCACGCTGCGCTGGAGCGACGGCCCCCTGCAGGACGCCCTCGCGGCCCGCGCTCTGGGCGCCGTGGCGGAGTACGGCCCGCAGGAGCTGGCCAACTCCGCGTGGGCCTGCGCCTCCCTCCCGTGGGCCCGCTCGGCTGCCTCGATGCGCGCCCGCGTCGAAAAGCGCAGCGCGCGCCGTGCTGCGAGCGTCCGTGCCGACACGTTGCGCGCTGGCTCGGCGCAGTGGCCCACGCGCGCGGTTCCGGCGAGCGTGTCCCAGGGGAGGAGGAGGAGGAGGAGGAGGAGGAGGAGGAGGAGGAGGAGGAGGAGGAGGAGGAGGAGGAGGAGGAGGAGGGGAGGAGGAGGGGAGGCCAGGAGGGGGGAGTTAGGAGGAGGAGGAGGAGCAGGAGGAGCAGGAGGAGCAGGAAGAGCAGGAGGAGG